GTGCGACCCTAAGTAGGATAGTCTATGTCTTGCGAAGGCAGGTAACATAAACTATTAAAACTTATCAAAAACTAAAACAAAAACTTTTAATTACTTAGTCCTTAATTTTTTGACAGAAATGTATGATATATACTAATGATGTAATAATAGAGCAAACTTAATAAATAGGTCTTTCCTTTCGTTTAATAGAGCTCCTTGTAAACATTCCTAATATCTGCACTGCACTGTGATGTCCCAGTTTTCGATTATTGTAGAATAATTTCGGCTGTTTTACTTAGTGATTTGAGGATTCTCAGAAAGATTTTCTAGACTTGCTGCAATATTTAAGTGGAAATATTATTTTAATAATATTATTTTATTATAATATTATTTTAATTAATATAATATAATTTACAGTAAACATGAGATCATAAATCATCTTAATTTATTCGTTAATAGAAACGAAATCATATATTATCTATAGAATAAATCAATTGATAATTTTTTTTTTCTTGGTACTAAAATTTAAAATTTAGAAAAAAAACTGTAATTAAATAAATCAGTAATTCTATAGCTGATTAATAATTTCGCAAGTTAATATGTTAATGAACTTTTATAGCAAATTAACAAAAATTCCAAGTAAGAATAATACAAGTCAAGTATGGTTTTGAACCAGTTTCATATTAAACGTTGACTCTGAGCTTTAAATTTGACTGGATGCAAGTTCGACTTTTGGTTATTAAACAAAATATTTACGCATAATTATATATAGAAAATGTTTTCGAAACGACTACTGATGTTGGGTATCTGACGAACATGACGAGTATTCAAAATAGCTAAAAAATTGCCAAAAAAATTTGATTCTTTCATTATAACTCAACAAAAAATAATTTCATTTTATTTTAATTTCATTTATTTTAATATAATTTATTTTTTTTTTTTATATTTCAACTTTTTTTTTAATTCAATAATATTTTATTTTACTAAACTTTACTTTATTTTACTTTACTGTACTTTAATTTAATTAGATTTTATTTTATTTTATCTCATTTTACTTTACTGTACTTTAATTTAATTAGATTTTATTTTATCTCATTTTACTTTATTTTATTTTTTTTTATATTATTTTACTTTATTCTATTTCAATATATGTTATTTTATTCCAATTTATTGTATTTTATTTTATTTTAATGTTTTTATTTGATATTATTTTATTGAACTTTACTGTACTTTATTTTATTTTACAGTACTTTAATTTAATTTCATTTTATATACTTTTATATTATTTTATTTTATATTATTTTATTTCATAATATTTCATATTATTTTATTTTATAATATTTTATATTATTTTGTTTTATTTTATTTTATTTCATTTTACTTTATTTTATTTTTTTTTTTATATTATTTTACTTTATTTTGCTTTATTCCATTTCAATATATATTATTTTATTCCAATTTATTGTGTTTTATTTTATTTTAATGTTTTTATTTGATATTATTTTATTGAACTTTACTGTACTTTATTTTATTTTACAGTACTTTAATTTTATTTCATTTTATATACTTTTATATTATTTTATTTTATATTATAAAATAAATATTTCATATTATTTTATTTTATAATATTTTATATTATTTTGTATTATTTTATTTTATAATATTTTATATTATTTTATTTTGTTTTATTTTATTTTATTTTATTTTGTTTTATTTTATTTTATTTTATTTTATTTTATTTTATTTTATTTTATTTTGTTTTACTTTATTTTATTTTATTTTATTTTATTTTATTTTATTTTATTTTATTTTATTTTATTTTATTTTATTTTATTTATTTTATAAATGAGCAAATAGTTATTATTTTGTTTTATTTTATTTTATTTTATTTTATTTTATTTTATTTTATTTTATATTATATTATTTTATAATATTTCATATAAGTTTATATTATTGTATTTTATTTTATTTTATGTATATGATTCCAATATATTGTATATTATTTTATTTAAATTTTTTTATTTAATATTATTTTTTTTTTATTTTTTTTATTTTATTTCAATATATTTTATTCTATTCCAATATATTGTATTTTAATTTATTTCAATATATTTTATTTTATTCCAATATATTGTATTTTAATTTATTTCAATTTTTATTTTATTTTATATTATTTTATTTTTATTTATTTTATTGCAATATACTGTGTTTTATTTTATTTTATTTCATATAATTATTTTTATGATTGTTCTGTAAACAAACGCACTTCTTTGCCAGACGGACAAGTATTCGGAAATAATAATAACATAATGAATTGAATTAATAGATTAGTAGTAGTTTCAATCAATAGATTAAATTACTGCTCAAATTTATTGAAAAGATATTTAATTTTTATGTATTAAAATATGTTATTTTTTTCATAAAAAATATAATTTTCATTTTTAAAAAAATGTTAGTTTCAATTTTTAAACTTAATATTTTAGACCGTAATTAAATATTTCTTTTATTCGAAAATGACTAAAATTTTCTATTTACATAGAATGGAATAGAATTCTATTGCTATGTTTATTTCGCAGGAATTGCAACATTAAAAATAAAAATTTATATTCATTATTTTTAAATAATATTAGTAAGTTAATTTATTTTATTGATTACTGAAACTATGTAAATTTCAAGAATATATATGAGCGCAGAGAACTACTGTAGTGAAAGTTCCAAATGCAACTGTCACTTTCAAGACATGTTTGATTTGAAAGTGTCCTTTTATGTGTAAATATCCTTTCAATGCGGCCAACATTAGGATAAAGAGAATATGAATTTTTTTCTCACTAATAAAACCTCATGCAGAGTTGCAATTATTATTTAATTTATAATTAAAATTTGTATTTATATTTTAAATTAATTTAATTAAGAAAATTATTTGTTCTAGTTTATAATTGTTTTAATTTTTTTTTTTCATTTCCTTTATTACAAAAGAAATTTTTTTAAAGAAATTATTTTGTTGTGGTATTATGGTATAAATTTATTTTACTATTTAATTATTTTGAGTTGATTATATATCGACAATTTGTGTATTGCCCAAAGGATTTTTATGAAGGAATTGTCTAGATGTACAATACCCTGCTATGAGGAAGGAATTAAAAAGAAAATTATAAAACTGATATAAAGAATAATAGCTGATATATATAAAGAATAGCTGATATAAAGAATTTGTACAGAAATATTTTTATTTTGGACTCAGCAACCATTATATTATTTTCATAAAATGAGCAATAGTCACGATTCCAATTTCCAAGGCACGCCTATTTGACAACTAATTTTAGTCCAGTTAGCTATTTTAAGCAACTTTTTCTATTATTTTCTACAAAAAATTATTTTAAATGATCATTATTGTGTTGTGAAATATTCTCTTGTATGATATAAAGACTTTTACATGCATTCGAAACATTTCTTATAACATGATATGCATTACTCTTCCGATATACAGTTCTTGATTGCATCAGTGAACTCTTTTAGTGACGAAATTCATCCAGTTATCCTAACAGTTTGTCATTGTATCCCAAAACAGGACTCACATTGGATGATCTATTAAACTATATTTTTTTAAGTGCTTTTTTGAGTAGATGTGTGTGTTTGCTAGTTGGTTTTCCCTATTTTTTCACACATAGTCGATGCTCTAAGGGCACTGTTGCTATATGGTCAGACTTTTGAAAAAAACTGGTAATCATTGGCGGTTAAGTGCCATAAATTTGAGCTTGTTTTATTTGATTTGTTTATCATGAATCACCCATGTAGTAAATTGTACAGCCGTACAGCGTTAAAATGGTAAAATGTTCTGGATATAGTCCCGATCAAAAATACAAAACTTAATATAACTACGCCGCTGCTCATTATATAAACAGTGATCTTCTTATGATATTAAACAAATGCTATTTACTTAATGAAATATTATGGTTTTTCTTTTTAAAAAAGTGAAACATAATCGTGAGAGACAAAAGGAAGATAAAAGGAAGACAAGCGAAAAAGACAAGTAATAAACATGGAAAACATAATGCAAAAGAGGAAAATCATGAAAATAAACGGTGACAAGACAGAAACAACAAAAGACCAAGAACGAGGCAGGAAATAAACAGAAAAGAGAACGACTAATAGAAGTAAGGCAAAACAAAATTAAAAAATCAAAACGATACAAGGAAGGGGCTCAGGGCGACAAGGCAGAGATACAAGAAACGGCGACAAGAGGCAGATAAGTGAGAGACAATAGAGGTAGACGATAAATAAATAATTAAAAAAATACAAGATGACAACGAGAGCAATAGAAGAGAGAAACAATGGAGAAACAATAGAGACAATAGAGAAAAAGTTAGGAACCTAGAGAGAAACAAGATGGAAAATGAGATGAGTAGAAATACGATAAGATGACAATATATGATATGGTGAGAGGGACCATAGACAGGTTATTTACAAGAGATATTAGAGGGTGAAAAAGGGTAGGCAAAAAGCGGTCAATGAAGGACAACAATCAAGAGACAAGAGGTAGAAAGAAGAGAAACAAGAGAGGAGTAGAAATTTTACTCAAGTAGTGCGTAAAAATTAAGCTTTTTAATAAACTGAATCTTGTTAAGGTAGTATTTTTATCACAATCCTCTTTTATAACTCTATATCAATAAACTAAGGATATCGCTGTTTGCTATTTTGGATATCAAGTTTATGACTTATCCCATTTCAATCATTATCAAAATTTTAAACAGTGTACTGATATGTTTAATTTTCAATATTTAATTAATTAATTATATTATAGAGAAATATCAATTATTCATTCATAATAATGATATAATGAAGTGTGAAATAGCACATACGTTCACTTTGTTTTTTTAATTTCTTTCAATATATATTTTGGGCATTTAGTTCAATGACGAGAGTGAATTTGTCTCAATACTGAACTCGAACTAGTGCAGAGTACACAATTTTCGCGAAGGGCAACCAAAGTATAATTATAGGTGTTTACTTATAAATTTGAAATGAAAAAGTCTAATAAATTGAATAAGACGGAATATAGCATTGCTATATTTAAACGGTTTGATATATATTGGCAATTGTTAGGATACAAAACCAAATATAATGCGTATCTCATGTATATCTATCAAACGATAATAACAATTGCTGTGACGATTGGGTTTCCATTGCATCTCAATATTGGACTACTGTTGGCTCGCAATCAAGAAGAATTCTTCAATAACATGGCTTTAAATGTAGCCAGCATTGCATGTACCATTAAAATTATTACATACACAATGCATATTAATGAAATGGAAGAACTAACAGAACTATATGCAAAACTCGATGCACGTCTTCAGAAAAACGATGAATCCACATATTTTCAGTACAAAGTCAAACGTTTCTCTCATTTTATGGTTACCATGTTTAGCACTAGTTACTTTTCATCAGGCATTGTTTTATTAATTTCGTTGGCACTGGGCGGTAAGAGACGTTTGCTCTGTCCCGCTTGGCTGCCTATTGATTGGGAGACCAGTAGTTTCAGTTATATTTGTGCTATTATATATCAATACATTGGTCTATGTATGCAAACCGTGCAAAATGTTATTAACGATGCTTACAGCCCAGTCGCGTACTGTACACTTGCCGGACATGTGCATATATTGGCCATGCGCATCTCCAAAATTGGCTACAATGCCAAAATGGCAGACGGAATTAATGCCACGGAACTACATGAGTGTTTTGAAGACTACAGCCGTATTATGTGGTAAATATGGTTATATATGTTTATCTCTCAGTAGCATATAGTATTTCTGTTATATATTTCAGTATACATCGACGACTGGAACGAATAGTTTCCATACCGCTTTTAGTGCAGTTCTTAGCGAATGCACTCAATATCTGCGCTGCACTTGTTTATCTACTATTTTTTGCGGACAATATAATCGGCTATATATATTATATAATGTTTCTGTTTTCGATTATTGTGGAATTATTTCCGGTTTGTTATTACGGTAGCCTAATGGAGGATGAACTTCGAAATTTACCTTATGCACTATTCACCTGCAAATGGTTTACCCAAACAAACGTTTTTCGACGCAGTATTATTGTCTTTACGCAGATTTCGTTGCGGAACGTTCCAGCTTTTGCTGGAGGTTTGTTCCGAATTCATTTGGACTCTTTTTTCGCTACTTGCAAAATGGCTTATTCCTTCTTTACGCTCGTCATGAGTATTAAATAATGGAATTTTGAATAATAGCACTTGAACACAGGATTTTTAAGAGTTACTTGTATTTCGCTTATATTAAAAATTTGAATATTTGCTATAATTTATTTTAAACTCACTTCTAGGCACCATCAATAAATTAAAATGCAACTTAAAGTAGCAACTGTAAGTTTACTCATATCAAGTAGTTTCCTTTAGAGTGATTCCTTTATTATATTATGATTATATTGAAGCCACTTACTTACTGTTCCTGCAATTTTGATAATTCTAGTATGAAAATCTTGACATAACCTATACTTAAAAACAGTCCTAATTATATTGCAAGTGTATTTTATAGATATTTGTAGTTTTAAAAACTCCAAATGTCTCTCAACATTAAATGCAATAAAAATCAGTTTTGACTGGAGAAAATAAAAGTAATAATGATCTAAGTGGAAGTTTATATAGATTCGCCAACTACTAGTATTATTGGTAAAGTGTAGTCAGCAGATACCTAAATTCTAGACTAAGGTATGTAAAGACTCTTTAATTTCGATTGTCACAGACACATTTCTTCTTTCGATAGAAAATTCGATGTAACTGCACTCTTTCGTTAAGATTGTCTAGGTCTAGATCTAAGTCATACCAAACTAAAAACAAAAAGTGCCGAAGATTTTAATCTCCCCGTGTAATTTATGGACAAATTAAATCAACTCATAGTTTTAAAACAAATTAAGATAAAAAACATATTATGATATTATAACAACTGTGGGACAGTACGATTGAACCATAATATATTATTCTAATTATTATTATTGTAAGGGGAAGTGACACTGCGACTGTCGGGTCTATTGTGCCCCCTTCTGAGTTTAGAGTAGGTCTCTAAGCTCTGTTGTGTCAATAAAAAGTAGTAGTATAGAACCAACTCTACAGAGTTTTATTGCCTCTTCCGTAATAGAAAGCAATTTTTAATGAATTTTAATCAAATTAATAATTCATATTCTGCAATATTTTCGCATTATTAAATTAAATATAATATAAAACAACCAATTATGTCATATATTAAATTACCACACCTCATAAGGCATCACTCGTTATTTATATAGAAAAGATTAAAGAAACGATGCCGGAATTATAAGGAAGCACAATAGTGCTTCACTGAAACACATACTTCTGCATTAAACACTATCATTTAAATAGTATACTCTTAGGAAAAAAAATTAGAAGAATCGAAAAATATAGGTCAGTCTATGGTTCAGCAATCTAGTAGATGAAAGGCATACTTTGCTATTGCTGTAACAGATCATTCCTCTGCGACCACGCAATTGTGGCAATATTAAAATAGGTCAACGTTATTTTCTTGCTGTCTAAGAGTTTTGCTCATAGCGTAAATAAAATGAATCTCTTGGGAATCAAATAGAAACTAATCTAAGTATTTCTAATATAAACAACTAATTTGGAAATTTGTAGCTTCAAAGATGGGACAGTTATTAATAAGTTTGAAACAAGGCTTCATATTTAACAACAAAAAGGTCCTCATCGAGTCTGATAAATTATTTATACAAAATTTAGCTAAATACATATTTCGAAATGATATTTATATCTATTTGCCAAAACCAGTGACCACGCGTGCCCTATCTGGAAGGGTGTGCGGCCCTTCTACAATATTGTTTTAACATGTACCGCATAAATTAAAAATGATCAATTGCAATATATGACATGTTTTATTAATAATAACTATATTACATTAGCCAAAAGTATATATGCGCAATACAATATTTAACTATTCATTAACAAAATAATATATTAAATAAGTTAAATTAATATTTTATATATATATACAAGTTTAATTTTATTTTAATATGGAATAAACACAACTTTTCACATACTTCTTATAACAGCAAGCCTAATTTTTTTAAACAAAAGAGTTTGTACTTAGAAGTATATACCTATATTTCTGCAGTGATCAAACAAAATCGAACACATTTGTAAGGTATGAATGTGCGGCCAAGTTTTCCGCACACCTAACGAATGAAATTCGTGCGAGCTACTGCTGAAAGGGGAAAGATGAAATGTAATAGAAATATACTAAGATTTGTGCTGCAAATTTTACCGCACAACTAAGTGCTTCGGCAAATTAACATATTGGATTAGCATGCATGCAGCTGAAATTCTAATAGAACAGAAAACTACTCTCATACAATTCCGACTATATAAATCTTAGCTTAATGAAATTTCAACTGGTATAAATTACAGAATATTGGAAAATTAATTAAAATAATTAAAACACATTTTACTTTTATTTTATTTAAAAGTTCATGTTTAAATGTTGGTTAAATATTGTTTAAATCTTGTTTAATCTCAAAAATAGTACTGGAACTGTAAATATATTATTATTACAGTTATTAATTTATTGCGATAATAATAAATTTTAAGTTTTTAGGAAAAAAAATTTTTTTGACGTTTTTTTTATTTTTAATATGGAGATTTGCGATAGCGTTTTAATAAACGGTAAGGTCCATGAATGTAGTTAGCACCGCTTCCACACATACACTTATAATGTTCACGACCGTAGTACTCAAACCAATTACTGCGTTTCTTCATCACTTTGAGTGGTCTCCGCTTGAAAATAGTCTCATTCAAAGATAAAGCATTTTGCACAAATTCAATTTTGGCAAATTCAATGAATGCGAATCCTTTAGGACGACCATCAAACTTATTGCGTACAATAGATACTCTATTCACGTCACCACAGCTTAGGAAAAATACTTCTAACTCCTCAGCCGATGCGCCATAATCAATATTGCCAACATACACCGAGCGCGCATCAATTTCCTGCTGATTACCAACAATAGGCTCCGATGGTAAAGAATAGGAGTTAAACTTTGAAAGTTCCATTTTCTTCTGTTCCATATGCTTTAATTTTATGATTTTAGCCTCAATATGATCAAGTTTTGACATGATACATTGCAATTTGGGATCATATTTCGAAGCGGGCTTCTCACCAGTTTTCTCCTTACCGGGTCCATTGTCATTAGAAGCCATTTTTGCCTTGCTTGATGTGGTAGCGTGATCAGCCATTTTTTTCAGTCAATTTATATACAAAATTGAATACAAGCAATCAGTTAAGTACAAGCTCTTAGGATATAAAAGCAGTTACTACTTGACAGTCAAAATTTTTTTCTGACTTCAAATTCTTATGTGGTTATGCATATAGTCAAACTGACGTTTGTTGCTAAGATCTCCGATTTGATTAAGTGATTTAAAATGATTTAAAATACCTTTTTAAAAATTAAAATTTTTATTTTCAAATTAATTGTTATTTATACAAACCAATTTTAGACCACAATTGATTTGTTTATAAATTAGATTTTATACTATTAAATACATATTATTTTCATTATAAAATGATTATTGTACATATTATAAATCCCATTTTATTCCTAAAAGTACAGTAAACAAATATTGTTTTTGTAGAGAAATAATATATTGATGTTAAAGTTTATAAAACGTAATAATGTCTTTTGTGATTTGTAAAGTAACTGTTTACCAACGAAGTCAGAACTGTCTTCCAGGTTTCTTTTTGTTACACTGGATAGTGTTACAGAGTATTTACGGAATATTTATTTTTATTTATATTTATATTTATATTTATTTATAAGAGTAATTTACCATACAAAAAGCTTTCATAGAAATGAGCTCATTATGAATAAATCAACTGATTTAAAGCGAAAAATGTAGAATGCAACCCTTGAAATAAATTTTCCAACAGGGAAATGATCGAAATTTGAGATATTTGAGATATTTGACATATGTTTTATATGTAAAATGTAAATAAGCAAGCTATTTCATACGCATAAATCAACTCATGCCAATGGAAACGACCAATTCTTAATTTCATTAAAATGAGTAGTTTTAGCTGTAATGGGAACATAATGATATTCATGTTCATGATATTCATTCATTTAATGACAAAAAGTATTAAAGTGCATTTGAGAATTATTATTAACCTGTATGTTAGTACTTCTCTTTATATCCCACTAATTACAATATAATTCGTACACAATATACAGTTTTCTGCATCCAAGTACACCGATTAATTCGTACAAATATTCCGCATAGCTTGTATTATTTGTTATCAAAACTCTTGTTGAAACCTGGCTATGCTACATAATAATAATTAGAGAGGGCAACACATTTTTAAGTTGTACCGCAACTGGACGTTCCCCAACACGATTGAGGGCGACTGTGAGCTAAACTTGTGGAAAGACTCGTAGTTAAATATATGTAATTGTCTTCAAATTCTTCGTACTTAATATCAGTCATTGGTTTATTAATCAGAAATCCATTGAAGAGTAAAAAATAAAACCACGATTTTGTACATAAATTCAGTGATAGGGTGTTAAAAACTCTCTCTTCTTGCGAAGGCGTATGAATGAATATTTCAAAAATATTTGTTGGACTTTGCCCCTTTTATATTCACTTTGGAGTTGTTTATTACCCCTTGGAACTCCTGGGAGTCTATTGATCAAGTGTTGGTTCAAACATTGTAGCGAATATCGAGTGGTTCAAACATTGTAGAGAGTATCCAGTGAGAAGAAACTTTTTAAATACATTATTTATATCAACAAATAATCAAAAAAAATTATTTCACTTTTTAAAATTATTATATCTAAAGGAAATCAATGTAATACATTCTCGAATATTTCCTATATCAAATAAATAAACCTACGGGAGCTGAATACTGGTTGAGTAAGTCCGCACACGTATTACTTCATATCTATTAATATCTATTTGTAATAAATTAACAAGTAGTCAAGATTGTACTATTCCTATCCAAGAAAGGTTGTTTCTTAAAAAAAAAATAAATAAACCTTAGAATAAATTTATCCTAATGACAATGTAAATACAAATACAAGGTTATACCTTGTCTAAAGAAGGATAACAAATAGAAGCTAATTATAAAACATCAAGATCACTTAAAAATTGCATTTATTATTTAAATATTCTCTAGTAAACCTGAATAGGATAACCCGCAATTAATTATAGGTTAATTTCTTGTATTTAGAATTCCTCTTAAAACTTGGCGTGAAAAATTTATTTGAACTATGATCGGTAGGTAATCATAAATAGACGAAAACAATAAGAGTTTTTGCTAAGAAAGCTAAATCTTTTGAAAACCACAATAATTTAAAAGCAAATACCTAAATAATTTCTTAAAAAAGTAAAATTTAAGTATCTTTCTTAATAATAAGACATCCCAATTGAGTGATCCAGGGGAAGACAGAGTAAACAGAAGAAGACGCAGTAAAAAAAGACATCGAAGTGGGAAAATGGGAAAAAGCAACAGCACTGGTGAATTTATGAACAAACTTCATAGTATAAAAGACATGATTACTGCAAGGACAACAACTCTAAAGCAGTCAAATAAGGATCTACAATGGTGTACAACATCACATGGTGTAATGTTGCGGCTTGCAATGGCCCATTCAAGTTCCACTAGAACACTTGTCTCATAGGTTTTCAGGAAAGCACTAGTGAAACAATGGGATGTGTAGAGATCTAGGTCTTCTGCATAAGGAAGGCTTCAATTAAGACATCGAAAAACCATTTCTTCCAGAAATGGAATATGAATGAAGCAACTTTTGAAAAAGTAATTGTACATTTGATTAAATTACTGGTTGGTATCCACTACGTATGATCGTACTAAAATCGTACTGCTACAAACCATTATATGTTTATATATATAGATATATATTTGTATCAGACAAATCAAACAGTTCAAGTTGGATTTCTTCTGAAAACATCCGCTTTTAATTTACATGAAAATAATTCTATTAGTGATATATCGGCAGTATTATGAAGGTATATCCTTGAAGGTATATCATTAGTCTGCTTTAATCAGTATTGAAATTCTTTGTATAACATAAAAGAATAATAAAATAATAAATTATAGAATATTTGGAACTTACGTGACATTATTTTATTTCCCACAACAAAAAAAAAATGCATTTTACTTTTATTTTATTTAAAAGTTCATGATTAAATGTTGTTTAAATGTTGTTTAATTGTTGTTGTAATGTTGTTTAATTTCAAAAATAGTACTGGAACTGTAAATATATTACTGCACAGTTAGTAATTTAGGGCGATAATAATATATTTTAGATTTTTTGAAAAAAAAAAAGTTTTTAACGTTTATTTTTTTTTTCAATATGGTGATTTGCGATAGTGTTTCAATGAACGGTAAGGTCCATGCATGTAGTTAACACCGCTTCCACACATACAGTCATAATGATCACGACCGTAGTACTCAAACCAATTACTCCGTTTCTTCATCACTTTGAGTGGTCTCCGCTTGAAGATAGTCTCATTCAAAGATAAAGCATTTTGCGCAAATTCAATTTTGGCAAATTCAATGAATGCGAATCCTTTAGGACGACCATCAGACTTATTGCGTACAATAGATACTCTATTCACGTCACCACATCTTAGGAAAAATACCTCTAACTCCTCAGCCGATGCGCCATAATCAATATTGCCAACATACACCGAGCGCGCATCAATTTCCTGCTGATTACCAACAATAAGCTCCGATGGTAAAGAATAAGAATTAGACTTTGAAAGTGCCATATTCTTCCGTTCCAAATACTTCAATTTTATGATTTTAGCTTCAATATGATCAAGTTTTGACATGATACATTGCAATTTGGGATCATATTTCGAAGCGGGCTTCTCACCAGTTTTCTCCTTACCGGGTCCATTGTCATTAGAAGCCATTTTTGCCTTGCTTGATGTGGTAGCGTGATCAGCCATTTTTTTCAGTCAATTTATATACAAAATTGAATACAAGCAATCAGTTAAGTACAAGCTCTTAGGATATAAAAGCTGATACTACTTGACAGTCAAACTTTTTTCTGATTTCAAATTCTTATGTGGTTATGCATAAGTCAAACTGACGTTTGTTGCTAAGATCTCTGATTTGATTAAGTGATTTAAAATGATTTAAGATACCTTTTTAAAAATTAAAATTTTTATTTTAAAATTAATTGTTATTTATACAAACCAATTTTAGACCACAATTGATTTGTTTATAAATTAGATTTTATACTATTAAATACATATTATTTCCATTATTAAGAGATTATTGCACATATTATAAATCCCATTTTATTCCTAAAAATACAGTAAACAAATATTGTTTTTGTAGAGAAATAATATATATGATGTTAAAAATTAAAAAACGTAATAATGTCTTTTGTTTCATTTTGCATGAAAGTTTCATTCATGTCTTAAAACTATTCACAATAGCACAAATTGTTACTACTGTGAACTGCCCAAGTTAAACCCAATCACGATTTAATTAGTTATACTTTCAGCTGTCAAAATTCTCATACAAATCTTTCTGATTTGAACTGGTTTTGTTATTAAAAATTATTTGAAATGACAGCTAAAATAACAATCAAAATACTTGTGTGAATTTATCTTAATGAAATTTAATTGTTTTTAGAAATGAAAGTGTAAACGCTTGTATGTAAGGTCATTAACTTAATATAGTTAGATTTTTATACGAACTTAATATGCAAAAATTTATATTAATTTATACTGAATTTTTGTTTCGGTACTCTGTACATAAATGCAAGTTTGTTTTTTAAAGTAGTTGCTTTTGTGACATGTATAATATATTTAAATGTGTCTTATATATAGAAGACGAACGCATTTCACCGCCATCTACCGGTGAAGTAAAACTAAATTATCTTTTTTAATAAGCAACTAACTTAATAACAGACACCAAATAGTTGTCAGCTCATATTTAGTATAAAAGACTTAATAATAATGTGGAAAAATAAAAGAAATAGAAGTTATTTTATTATAAACACATGGTACAATAATACACATTAAGCAGCACAACGCCATCTGGCATGATGTGAGAACTAAAGCACAAACAGCAACTAATACACTTTTTTTTAGAAAGTGGTTAGCTGATCTATCTGTATAGATCTCATAGATTCATAGATTCAATGCCAGTTTAAAGTTTTCTTAATTAATTAATGCAGACATACATTATTTTAGAAATAGGTTAGCTGATCTATCAGTATAGATCTCATAGATCCATAGATCGAATTCCAGTTCAGAATTTTTAAAAGCCATTAACACAGATACACATTACTTTAGAAGGTGATTACTTGATTTATCAGTATAGATCTAATAGATCCATAGATCAAGTGTCAGTTTAAAGTTTTCTAAACCAATTAATGCAGATTAATCATTTCTATATAAGGTGGTCAGCTAATCTATCAGTATAGATCTCATAGATTCATAGATTCAATGCCAGTTTAAAGTATTCTAAACCAATTAATGCAGACATACATTATTTTAGAAAATGGTTAACTGATCTATCAGTATATATCTCATAGATCCATAGATCGAATTTCAGTTCAGAATTTTTAAAAGCCATTAACACAGATACACATTACTTTACAAGGTGATTACTTGATTTATCAGTATAGATCTCATAGATCCATAGATCCAGTGCCAGTTTAAGGTTTTCTAAACCAATTAATGCAGATACACATTTCTATATAAGGTGGTCAGCTAATCTATCAGTATAGATCTCATAGATTCGTAGTTCCAATGCCAGTTTAAAGTTTTCTAAATCAATTAATGCAGACATACATTATTTTAGAAAATGGTTAACTGATCTATCAGTATATATCTCATAGATCCATAGATCGAATTTCAGTTCAGAATTTTTAAAAGCCATTAACACAGATACACATTACTTTACAAGGTGATTACTTGATTTATCAGTATAGATCTCATAGATCCATAGATCCAGTGCCAGTTTAAGGTTTTCTAAACCAATTAATGCAGATACACATTTCTATATAAGGTGGTCAGCTAATCTATCAGTATAGATCTCATAGATTCGTAGTTCCAATGCCAGTTTAAAGTTCTCTAAATCAATTAATGCAGACATACATTATTTTAGAAAATGGTTAGCTGATCTATCAGTATAGATCTCATAGATCTATAGATCGAATTCCAGTTCAGAATTTTTAAAAGCCATTAACACAGATACTCATTACTATAGAAGGTGGTTACTTGATTTATCAGTATAGATCTCATAGATCCATAGATCCAATGCCAGTTTAAAGTATTCTAAATCAATTAATGCAGATACACATTTCTATATAAGGTGGTCAGCTAATCTATCAGTATAGATCTCATAGATTCGTAGTTCCAATGCCAGTTTAAAGTTTTCTAAATCAATTAATGCAGACATACATTATTTTAGAAAATGGTTAGCTGATCTATCAGTATAGATCTCATAGATCCATAGATCGAATTCCAGTTCCGAAGTTTTAAAAGCCATTAACATAGATACCATTACTATATACAACGTGATGGTTGGCCTCAGTAACAGAGATGAAGTTCAAGTCCTCATAACTGGTAGTTCCAAAGAATTAGAATTAAGTTTGTGAGACCTATTCGATTAAGTAAGTAATGCAGAAAGCAATGTTTTATGTTTTTAACTTCATTTGCTTTATTTCTTAAATACTTTGAATATTTTGGTTTTTACATAAATGCAAGTATATATAAATAAACAAAACTCTTACTACGAAAATATACTGAAACTTTTAACAAAATAATTTGTTAGTAAAATACAAAAAAAAAAAAATCGAATAAATTAAAATAAAACATAAGCAAAATGTTTGTTTGTTTGTGTTAGTGTATGGATGTAGCTGTGTTAGTTTGTGAGTTGATGTAAATGAGTCTAAGCGTAAAATACACATCTTCCGGAATTGCACTTCGCAAATGTACGAAGACTTCAACTGAGGCTTGGAAAATGATCACAAAAAACAGAACTCTACTAATATTAAAACCCCGAAATCCCCAAGTTATTGTAGTTAGTGTAGTTAGCTGATATCCTTGTTAATATAACTGAGTAATATGTATAATTGCTTGTTAGTACTAAAATATGTTAGTTGATTCCTATCTGTTATATTAGTTTTTCGTTAAATAAAAATTCTAATTAATTAATGTTTCTAATTTTTATGTAAATTCGTGAATTCGTTAATTCGTAAATTCGTTGTCCTTTATACGATTAGCTGTGTTTCGTTGCCATAGTGCCTAGCATCGCTAGAATTCTAACTTATAACTAAGGTTTTCGTTGTAAGCTTTCGTCCTTTCTAACATTTTGTTTGGTGGGTAAACAAACTGGGTTGCTTAGGAAGTTCAGCTTACCATTGCTGTTGTAGACGACGATTGCCATTTCTTAATCCGTTTCTATCGTTGCCATTGCGACTGTCTGAGTTGCCATTGCTTACTTCGTAGGTGTAACCGTTTCCGTTACCGTTACCGTTGCCGTTATTGCCATTATTACCGTTACCATTACCATTGCCGTTGCCATTGCCGTTGCCATTACCATTTCCGTTACCATTTCCGTTACCATTTGATAGTAATCTTAAATTGCTCTGACGTGACAATGTACTTTCGATACTGTCATAATCACCCAAAATTTCGGTGGACGTAGGCAATGCGGTAAGACGACCTGCACCAGCTAGAAGGATGCCATTGCCTCGTAAGCCATTAGCAATTTTCGTTGAGATCACTGAGCCGCGAAGACTACCCAAGCCAGCAGCAGCCTCTAGCAATAAAGGTGAATGTATAACTTGTGCTTGAACTGTGGCACTGGCGGGTTGTGTGAGTACGAGCTGTGGTTGAGCGGTACGTTCAATGGTGGTAATACGTGCAGAGCCACTATCGCGCAATTCCTTCAGCGCAGATAGATCATGAGCCTGTGTGAAAACAGTACCGGTAGTTTGACGAGCTAAGAGTGTTGGTGGATGCGAGACGACTGTGGCATGTACACTATGACCCAATGTTTTGCTGGGCAATGATTGTGCTAATAGCAGAGCTTGTTCATTGCTGAGACGTTCCTGTGATTGTTGTGTTTGTGTACGCAATAATTGCTGTTGGCTGCGTTGTAATTGCTGCAATTGTTGTTGCTGTTGTTGCTGCTGCTGTTGTTGTTCCTGTTGTTGTTTGTATTGTTGTTGGAATTGCTCCATTAGTTGTTGTGCTTGTACGCGTGCTTGTGCTTCGGCTTGTGCGCGTGCTTGACTCTCAGCTTGGGATTGTACTTGTGCCATTGTTTCAGCATGTGCTTTGGCTTGAGCTTGCAACTGAGCTTCGGCCAGTGCTTGCGCTTCAGCGTAGGCATTGCTTTGTGCTTGAGCTTCGGCTATTGATTGTGAAGTTATTTGAGATTGCAATGCTTCGACGCTGTTGTACCGGGATGATGATGAAGTGCCGCTTGCAGCACCGATCGCTGTACGCAAACGCGCATCAATCAGTTGTTTCGAGACAATAGCATTAAAACCATTTATATCATCAGCAGTGTAATCGACTATGCGACGTGTGCCATCGGGTTCAACAAGTGAATACTGAAAAATTGAGAAAGTTATTGGTGGTAGATATATAAATTTTAGAAACTATAATAGCTTCAATAATTCCAAATAGAAGAACTAATATCAATGTTATTGATAAAACATTTTTTTATTTTGTGAAATATGTTTTTTTAATAGATGTACGATATCTGCCAAATAGATGTAGACTATCTGCCAAAATTTTCATTTTTTTTTTCATTTGACATCTTCACTTATTACCTGGCCTTGCACAACATCACCGTCACGTTTCTCTTCTTGTTGTTTTTCATCTCCGGTCAGTGTATCCCTTACATCATATGCAAAACTATACTGTGGGTGGCTATCGTAATCTTCGGATGAGGTTATTGAAGCGCCAATTTCATTTCCGATATCTGATGAATCCGTCGATTGTTCACGTGAGTCTTGTTCTTGTTGTTGCTGCTGTTGTTGTTGCAATTGTGACAAATCCAATGAACGCAAATGCGTGAACGAAGCGGATACAATGTTGCTGCTCAAAGCGAAAAGGCACAAAAGATAATAAAACTGAAAAGCACAAAAAAAAAAAATAATTTATAAAACTATTAAAAAAATAATGCAATTTTAAAGAAAGAGATATTAAGTCAAATAAATAAAAAATAAAATTGATTCATATAAATGGAAAAAAAATATATAAAATGCAGAATATTTTTGTGATATATGTATTTTAAGCTAATAAACTATCCTTCAATGTATATATATAGTTTACATCAATATTCTTTTCCAAAACTTGAATATTAATATCAGAAAATATATTTAAATCATTAAATAATATTAAAAATTGTGGCGAACTCTGCGCAACATCTCACCCTTACTGAATTCTTATCCTGAGTAATGGATATGTGGGATTTCGATTTCTATAAGATTTAAACAATATATTCATTGAACCGAAATATTTTAATATTTCCTCAACACATATAAAATCTATTTATCTAACATTTTTATTATTTATATTAAAATAACTGCAAGATAGACTTCCTAAAAAAAACTCCGAAAATTGTATTGCGTTGTCCTTTACTTACGCTGTGTTTACACTATCGCAATTAACTGTACAAATGTGAATTTTTCACATAAAATTCATACAGAATCCATACAAAATTGTGCATATCTCAGGTATGATAATTATAAGTGTAAACACTCAAAGTAGATATAGAATTGAACAGTACTAATAATGTTTTTTTTATGATTTCTAAACCTTTTTTTTTTACTGCTCGTTACTATCTTTTTTTTTTATAGTCCCCACTGTTTAATAGTATTTAAATCATTTTAGAGATTCAATTAACATCCATAGAAAAATTTAAATAGGGAGTTGTTTTTTATTTGTATCTTGAAGATGCCAAAAATCATTTTAAATATATAAATTTATTTGATATATGTATACTTGTTATGTATGAAGAGAATATCAAAAAAAAAAAAAAATAATATATTTATTTATTTATTATTTTTGCAAGTGTTGACAGCACATTCTAAAGATGACCGCTTTTAAAGTTAAAAAAAATTAAAATTTAAGTGCTGAAGCAATTTTGTTCGTACTTCGCCACAATGTCGAAGTCGTATGTGCCATTGAGCCTTCTGTACTTCCATTGGCAGGTCCACTTGCGTTTGTCTTTGTGTTTGTGTTTGTGTTTATTCTTTTCATATTCAACAAATATTGCAGTAATATTCTGTTTGCTGAAATGCACAAAGTTGTCATTATGACAAATTGTCATAGCCATAAATTTCACAAACGCGATGCACTTTACGGTCGATATTTCGGAAGCGTATGAGTAATTTAAGGCCTCATCTATCGTTTCATTCTTGATATATTGACACAGATTTGTACTGCATATTTCATACTGTACAGTATAGTGCACTGCAGTACAGTATGTGTGCAGTAGCTTTCATACTGTACACCACGTACAATTAAAATTTTATATTTGTTTTTCTACAGTGAAACGTTGGAGATAAGAGTATTACATGTACAGTGTTGTGGCGGGAGTGTAGGGGGGGTTAAGTTCTTTTGTATCTGAAGTTTGTTGCATGTTGCAGTTGACAAGTTTATTGCCACAAAATTTCAAAGCAAACAATGTAATTGTGAAGAACTTTGCAAACAATTTAAGTTGATTGATTTAAAAATAAATCAGTTGAAATGTTTGCTTAAATCGCAAATGATTTTTTATTTTTTTTTATTATTTTTTATTTTCCAGGACGTTTATATTGTAAATATACAAGTAAACAATAATGTTTATCTATTTGTTGGCATTTATGTGTCATGCAAGCACAATGTTGCCACTTCATGTTGCTGCAACAGAGCAGCAACTTTTACTTTCTTGTTACTTTGCAAGCATTTTATAATCCTTTTTGTGAATGGGAAAAATTGATTTTTATTCGTATTTTTTTTTTTTGATTTTGGTATTTAAATGCACCATATTAATATTTATTTTATTTATATTTGCATAAATATGTTTTCTAATAAATTTACACTATTAATTATTTTTATCAAAACATACCCGCGTCATTTTGTTAAAAATTTTTTTTTTATTTTATCCTTGAGCTCTCAGTGATATGCTTGAGTATCCTGTACTTATTTGTGCCCACGAATAGGTTGTTTCTTAAACGAATTTACTATTATAAATAGAATCACAAAACTTGCTAAATTATATCACAAATTCAAATAAAATCACAATTTGTATCCTTTGTTGCACTTTACGTTGTTCGTTGATATCACAACAACACAACTGCTTTAAAAGACCGTTGAATTGCTTTTGTTATTCACTGCAACGCCGCTGTTGTCTTTTATAGCAAATGCCAGCTGTGGACGAGCTATCTTCTGGCATACGAAGTAGGCCCTTCAATACGTTATCTGTACTTAAAAGTGCACACAAAACTGCATAAGACAGCATACAACATATGATACGTAGAACTTTCAATTTTGAAAACCACTTCTTATGTTTCAAACGGCCTTACCTACGAGTCGTTGACGGTTTCTTGCAGTTGAGATGATTATTTGTATCTCTATCTGCTTCAGTTTTTTCTATAAAATTAAAATGGACAATTTTTTATCAAACGATACTACACGATAAACAAAATTTTATTCTGTTTTAGGTTTAATTTTTGAAGGCAATTGTAATGAAAGAAAACTGTTTTACTAATTAAATATTATTTATTATTTTTATTTCTCAAAAAACCTATTTGGTCTATTATTCAAATAATTAACAACTTTTTTCATTTTTATATTTAAATTTCTTTTAAATTTCATAGAAACTATATTTTATTTTCACTAAAATTTCGACTATAATCTAAAGTCATCTTTTGTGTATTTAATTGCCAATTCGCCCATTTTAGAAGTAAAAATAATAAATAGAAAATTTTGATCGTAAAGATAATAAATTAATAAAATATTAATATTAAAAATAATAACGGTAATAACCTACACATATGCAAAACGAATTACTGTTTCGTCTTTTAATATAAACAAAGACATAAATAAATATATATTATAAATAAGTATATTAAATGTATATTGAAACATATTGTGTATATACCATACATGCATATAATATATTTAATATAAAATAAAATAATATAATATAATAATTCAATTACTCTTTATAATATAAATATATTTATTATCTTAATAATAATAAATATAATATAATAAATATATTAGTATAATAAATATAATAAATATAATATAAAATAATGTATACATACGTAATATAATATAATATAATGTCATATATATAAATATATGTACATGTATATATATATATATATATATATATATATGTATATATATATATATAAAATAAAATAAAATGATATAAAACATTAAAACGTCCGAGAAAAGTTATAAAAGAAAATTAAATAAAAATAAAATAAATTTGAATAGAATTAAAATTTAGTATAATAAAATTAAAAACAAATAAATAAAATAAAATAAAATAAAATAAAATACAAATAAATAAAGTAAAGTACCAAAAAAAATATAATAAAGTTAAAACAAATAATACAAAATAAAATAAATTTAACTAAAATGAAGTAACATAAATGGAATAAAATAAAATAAAATAAAATAAAATAAAATAAAATGAAATGAAATAAAATAAAATAAAATAAAATAAAAAATAAAATAAAATAAAATAAAATAAAATAAAATAAAGTAAAATAAGATGAAATAAAATAAAATAAACTAAAATAGAAACAAATAAAATAAAATGATAAAATATAGTAAAATATAGGCAAAAATATAAAATTAAAAAATAATACAAAATAAAATAAATTTAACTTAAATAAAGTAACATAAATGGAATAGAATAAAATAAAATAAAACAAAATAAAATAAAATAAAATAAAATAAAGTAAAATAAGATGAAATAAAATAAAATAAACTAAAATAGAAACAAATAAAATAAAATGATAAAATATAGTAAAATATAGGCAAAAATATAAAATTAAAAAATAATACAAAATAAAATAAATTTAACTTAAATAAAAATAAAAATAAATAGAATAAAATAAAATAAAATAAATGAACATAAAATGAAATAAAATAATATGAAATAAAGAAAATTAAAAGAAAGCAATATAAATAAAATAAAAATAAATAAAATCGAATAAAATAAAATTAAGTAAAATAAAACAAAGCAAAATAAATTAAATGAAATAAGAATAATAAATTCGAATGAAATAATAAAAAAGTAAAACGCAATAAAATAATGTAAAACAAAAATGAATAAAATAGAAAACAAAAATAAAACATAACAAAACAAAATGAAAAAAAATCAAGTAAAGTAAAATATTGCAAAATAAAACAAATTTAAAATAATTTAAATAAAAATTAATTAAATTAGAATAAAATGAAGTAAAGGAGCATAAAGTAAAAGAAAGCAATGCCAAATAAAATAAAGTAAAATGAACTAAAATAATATAATATAAAAAAAATAAAATAAAACAAAATAGAATATAATAAATAAATATAAAATGAAATAAAATAATATAAGATAAAGTAAAATGAAGTAAAATATTATAATATAAAAAGAATAAAGTAAAATAAAAGAAAATAAAATAAAATTGAAGTCAAATCAAATAAAATCAAATAAATCAAAATAAAATAAAACATAACAAGATAAAATAAAATGAAATAAAACTAAATAAAATAAAACATAACAAAATAAAATAAAACATGAATCCAATATTATGAAATAAAATAAGATAAAAAAAAATATAATTAGGTGAAATACACAAAAGAATACATGAAAAATATTTTACAATAAAAATAAAATAAAATATAATAAAAATGAATTATATGAAATTTAATATATTAAAACAAAATAAAGCATAAAAAAGGTAATTAAACAAAACGAAATAAAATGGAATTAATGATATAAAATGAGAACCAACAAAAATATTTTCAATTTTACTTTTTTATTAATTTTTTATTTGATTTGAAAACTGAAGTATAAAGTAATTGAATAATTTTTTATTTATTCAATTAAAAGAGTAGAATTACCGAACATTAAATAAGTCCTTAACTAAGATTAAGTTAAATCTTACTATAACCTTGGTTCTACACCACCCAAAAGAAGTTATTATAAATTTCTACGTGGACTTCATAATAAGCATTTTTGTAAATTTCAGAGGGTTTGAAGGTCTATTCCTGGGCAGAGCCACCAAATATTTATTAGAGACCTTTCTTCTATTAAATTTTTAACTCCAATTCAAAATCAAAGTTAGACATGTTAGAAATCGAAGTTAGAATTATATTATTTTATTAGAATTATATCTAGTGAATTAGAATTATATTATATTATTTTAATTAATTGAATTGCTAAATACCCATCATCAGTGGTCTTGGAATTATTTCTTATTATAATATCTTATGGAATCATTTGTTTTGCTCCAAAAAATAATAAATGTGAGTCATGACTAATGTGCTTGTAGGTTAAGTATAAAAACTTATATGTTGCTTTAATGCAGACTCCACAATTGATTGAGATATATAGTTATGGCAACGTGAACGTCCTTTCCAGGTATTCCAATACAACTTTTTCATTATGGAAACATAAAAGTTCAGGCTTTGGATCAGTTGGTTAAGGTACACTGATTCTGAGCTTCACATTTGGCAGTACCCGAGTTCGATTCCTGATACTTGCAGTCTCAAAAATAATTTATAACGAATAAATGGGTATTTGGCAATACTCGGAACAGCTGTATGGTCAGCCAAAAATTCAATTAATTAAAATAATATAAAATTTTTGTTGTTGTAGTTCACTACTACGAAAAAAACCTCTTTATAAAAGTTTAGTGCGATGGAATGAATTTGGCGAAATTCTCGTGCTCTACATTCCATTATCAATAACGTTATAAATGATATTAAAATTAATTTGTTGAATATAAATTTTATTTGTTGAAAAATATTTGTTTAATATTTATTTTAAGTATAAATTGTAATTAACTCTCTATTAATGTGTCGCTCATGCTCTTTTATTTAAGAAAAGGAATTTTTAATAAAAATATAAAACTGAAGTTATATCCATAAAAGTGGTTTTAGTGAATACAACACTACCACACTGAGGGTTTCGATACTTTCCACCTACTGCTGTGGGTAAAAAAAGAACCCACAGCAAAAGTGGGTCGAATTCATAAAAAGAACTGCACCACGGCACTGTAGAAATGTGTGTTTGTGTGCTTTGGAATTTAAAATATTTTATTTCAAATTCGTTTCCTGCACGAAAAATCTTCCATCTTAATTTAAAATTCTCAAAACTTTATAAAAGTGTCCATTGAAATAGCATTGCAAAACGAATCAGCTCACCTCACCGGCGCTAACCACTCTCCATTTCGATAGCAACGGTGATTGCAGCGACTATAACGAGTTTCATTGGCATTGCACAATTCGTCGCATTGAACTCATGAATTATGCCATTTTTGGTTGGATATTAAATTTCAGAAGTGCTGGACGCACTTCTTCTAGCTTGGTATTGTACATACTGTGCTGATGCGCCGATTGACTGTCACCTGATACGTTTGGCACAATTGCCAACGTCGCGCAGATACCTCATATAACTACGCCAGTAACCAACAGCAACCAACAGCAACCAGCAGCAACCAACAGCCACCAACAACAACCAAGAACAACCAGCATCCACCAACAACAACCATTTGTAAATCAGGCACTGGCCACGCCATTAAGGCCGGTGCGTCTGGTGAAGCTTTACTTGGCACAGAAATGCACGCAGCAAGCGTGACGTCAACGAAATCAAAAGTGTGAAAACGAAAAAGTCAACTTTAAATTAAATAAAATAAATATAATAAAAATATATATGTTATTTAAATTGAAAAAAAAAAAATTAAATAATTCAAAAAATATTGTAATACGAGCGAGTTTTTGTTTGGATATGCACTAATTAATTGCTGTCGAGTGATTTTTATCTCAGAATTAAAACGTAAAACTCGCAAAATTCGTAGAATTTTATTCAAAAGAAAAACAAAATCAAATAAATTTGAGCATTTACGGTTTTTCACGTCAAAGGTTGCCACCTTTTCCTACACATAACTTTTAAAATTTTTTTAAAATAATTTTTCAATCCACAATATTGGAGAAGTCATATCCTTTTGCAATATATTTGCAAAAAAAATGGTACTAAAAATTTCACAATGTAACTCTGATATCCTTCGAAAGCCAGAGGAAAAACTATTTGATATATGGCAACGCATAAAGGGAAATGCATCGGCAACAGAATGTATGGAAGCACAGATAATTGTCTAAAAAATGCTCGAATTTTCAAAGGAATAAAAAAATTAAAGAATTGTAATTTATTTAACATGGAAGAGCTTCCTTTGGCATTCGATAGTCAACTCTTCGTTCGCCTCCTGTAAAATCATTTTATGTTACCAAACAACAAAGAGCTCTCATATAAACTAAAAGGATTTTTTTTATATGTAAATGGAATTGAAAAGTTCGTTAAAAGTGAATCTGCACTTTCATTCTCATTGGAATACGATTATTTTCCTTTCATTCTTTTTTTTTTTTATATTGTTGCTGAAAAATGCGTTGGTATGGATTATAAATCAAAAGGAATATTTTCCATTGAGTGGAACTTAAAAGAGTGTGAAATAAAAATGATGAATTTTAAATAGGCCATTACCTATATAGCGTCGTCCGATATACGACTATACGACAATAGAAATATGTTTAGAAAAGCACTTTCTCAAAAGTTACACAAACGTTTGAAGGAAACAAAGCCAACATTCGCTAAAAAAATTAAAACGATTGTCCACTTAACTTTGCAAAGAAATTTGTTTAAAAAAAAATAAAGTTCCGTAAGCGAAGACAGAACCCGTCGAGAATGAGAGTGGGAGATATGGTACTAAACTGAGAGGATACTCGTAGCATTAAATATCTAGGAATCACGGTAGACAAACGATTCACATGGCTAAAGCATGTGCTGTGCTAAAATTCTTTAACAGGAAATTGTTATACATTGTGACCGAAAAGTTTTCGGGAAATTTTAAATAAAACGCAAAATTCTTAACCTTCATCAATATTTATTTTATCTCCTTCAAAATATGCTCCATTAGAAGCGATACATAAATGCCAACGTTTCTTCCAATCATCAAAACATTTTTTATAGGCGCTTTCCGGTATGGCTTTGAGTTCCCTCTGCGAATTCTGTTTTACGTCTTCTATGGATTCAAAACGCGTTCCTCTGAGTGGTAATTTGAGTTTGGGAAACAGGAAAAAGTCACACGGTGCAAGATCAGGTGAATACGGTGGCTGTTCGATGGTATTTATTGAATGTTTGGCCTTAAAATCGTTGATAATGTTGAACAAATTGAGGTGAATCGGAACAAGCCGGGCGTTGACACGTCGCATACACAAATTGTCCACCAAAATCAAACGAGCCATCTCACGACCGATGCCTAGCTCTCGTGCTATCTCTCTAACACTCACATGAGGATTTTTGAACACGATTTCCTTTGCCTTTTCAATGTTTTCGTCGGTGGTAGAGGTCGAAGGTCGTCCAGAACGCGGCATGTCTTCGACGGTCGTACGACAGTCCTGAAAGGCTTTGTACCACTCATAAACTTGAGTTTTCGATAAAACTGATTCCCCATAAGCCTTTTGTAGCATTCGCAACGATTCTGCACACGAAATTTCGTTCGAAAAACAAAATTTGATGCAAACTCTTTGTTCAATATTTTTTTCCATTGTTTTTTTCGCAACGCACTACTGAGGTGAACTGGTTTCAACAGCTGCCGTAAACGAACTGTCTGACAGATCGCGCTCATTTTTGGCATAGTAATTGTCCTTAATTGCTGCCAAACTACATAAACTTAAAATATCGAAAAATATACAGCGCGCGAATTTTAAATGAGAATTTCCGAAAACCTTTCGGTCACAATGTATAACCAAATAATTCGTCCGTCACTTCTATATAGATGTGTAGTGTTTAGCAAGGTCTCAAACACTACTATTCGCCAACAAGAAATTGCACAAAGCCGGCCTCTGAGAAACCTATTCAAGGTAGCATGGTACATTCTGAGGGAATGTACCTCCTGAGGGACCTCAAGATTGATCCAATCAAAAATTACATAAAGGATAGAGCCCTGAAATTATTTACGAAAACTGACAGGCTTGCCAACACCGCATTATCGAATGTCAGAATGGTTATAGGCTCCTCGGGGAGATATGCAGATCTGAGGTCAATTATTGCTTAGTCTGATGAAGTGAAAAACAATAATCCAGTCAAGGTGTAGAGAAAGTGACATTAATTTACTATTAGCTAGCTTTATATAGTGGAGATAGATGCCCCTTAACGATAAGTGGAGTAATATATACCCTTGTTCAAGTCTATCAAACAATGCTTCTAGACACCAAGAGAATATGAATATGAGAATATGAAATGCGTGATACTTGGAAAAGAGATTTGAATCCAGCATACAAACCGGGAACAAACGACCAATTATGCGAGTAGCGTGGTAAAGGTAAGCTGTTACCCAAAAAATCGCATTAAAGTCATTAAAAACCAATGACGATAATTTTTGGATTATTGGGGTGTTGTGCTTTATAGAATCTTCCCCAAAAACCATAATGTACACTAGTTATGTTATTTAACTGTTAGAAAACGTTACATGAAGTTTGTCGCAAAAAAGGGCCAGCATAATAAACAGACAGTTCCTGATTTTTGCACCACGATAGAGCACCATTTGGCATTGTTGCTTCGTCACCACTTCTATTGTACTCACCTGATTTAGCACCGTGTGACTTCTGGCTACTCCTTAAACTCAATACATCGTTCCAAGGACGCCGTTTCAATACCATTGAAAACATAAACTCCAAATCGATACGCGCTTCGACGAAAATCGACTTTAACAATGTTGACGTTAGTGTATTGTATTAGATGGGAAATCCTTTGAAGGCTGTGAAGTAGATTCAGATTTAAAGTTAAAAAAAATTTCACATTATTTCCAGACAGTTTTTTAACAAATTTGACAGCACTAACTTTTATTAACGTTTCAAATGTCAATGGTATTTTTAATCTAAGTAAACCATTTGTTTTTTGAAAAAATGATGTAGTAAATAATTTCTTCAAAATTTTTATTCAAAAATTTCTAACCTTCAAAAGCCAGATGGACGAAAAAATTTTGGTTTAAATATGTTATAAGTATAAAAATAAATAACAAAAATGGCTTTTTGGTTTCCAAGTTTACTTAAATTTTCACAAAATTTACTTCGTAGAGGGTCTGAATTACCACAAAACTTGCGGCGTTGCCAGTTAAGTTATGGAGCTGGCGATCAGTGCTGTGACGGTGGTGACAAAGGTGGTAGCTCAGGAGGTGGATCTTCTTGTGAAGAGAGTCTAAAGACGACCATTCACAATAAATTCGATGTACCTGAGTATATATGTGAGGACATATTTCGGAAATTTGAGTGTAAGGACGAAATACTGGGACCTGGCGCTGGTAAATGTGACTGTTACAAGAATGCTGAGTACTTTGGATATCATCGCTTTTCCTACGCAGCATTGTTGGTTACTAGCTTGGATATTCGTAAACGGTTGGGTAAGGATGATGGTGTTAAATGTGTCTACAATGAAAAGGATGACTAAGCGAAGTTAAAGTAAATGTTATACTCAATCTCTCTCTCTCTCTTATCTCTCTCGCTCTTTTTGTTAACATTTACTAAAGGCTGATGTAGACGCTGCGAATATCAACTCAAGTTATGCAACTTTTTTAAATTTAATATTGTTTATTTAGTTCTTAATGTCTGTCAGGTTTGATTTTTGAAATTTTTTAATAGTAAAGAACATTTAATGAATCCATAAAGCCAAATTAATTTTTTTTTATGTCGCAGTACATGTACGTATATATTATATAATGAAACTAACGAAGTAATTAGTTTTGTGTTTATTATTACTCTGTATTTATTGCGCTTTCTGAAAAAAATGTTGGTTTTAGATATCAACTGAGTTAAGGTGATTGGATCGAACAAAATAACACCCGTCTAATTGGGATTCCGGATAAGGGATTTGGTAGTTACGAAACAACTAAAAAGTTTGGGAAGAAATGTGCTCTTACTTTCTTCATTGTACCTAAAGTTTTCTGTAGGATATCCACCAATAAGAGTGCATCATTAATTAGAAATTTCCATTTAAGATTACTACTACACTGATGGGTCCATGCTAAAAGGAGTTCAGGTAGCTCATTTTTTCGGCAACAAAAAGGCTGTTAGATATCTCTGTCGAAATAAAATTGAGTTCAGATAAATCACTGGCTTTTAACTAACACGTTTTAAAGATGCAATTTAAGGACTAATAAATAATATTACGGTGATAACTAAAGAAACTGATACCTATAGAATCGGTGAAATGCAATTTACCACACTATCTATTTTATTTGCTCGTGATTTATGATTGTCAAGAACTGATGAAAGCACTTCCTTATGAATGTAAATGAGCCGAATGAGATCTGAGATCAGGAATCAAGAGATATTTATCAGTATCCTTGATATTTCAGGGCAAGTAAAGGAGACTCTCTGAAGGAATAGTAAAATAAAACTCACTACGAACTGTATACCATTCGATTTTTCAATAAGGACCATTCAGGACTGTTTCTAGAGCTTAATGTACTTGGAATCCTTTAACTAAAATAAAGCCTAAACTGATATGAACCTTATTAATTTTCTAATAAATTTAGAATAAATGTGCGAGCAATGTGACAAAATTCATAACTTAAATAAATATTAATGAACGAAAAATAAATATGTATAAATTAAAATTAATTATATTTAAGCGAAAAGCATAAGGAATGGGATTTGGCTGTTCCGATAAAGAGAAGTATGAGTCCGTAAAGCATATATTATGTCACAGTCATGCTATCAGTATGAGGAGGTAATTATTTTCACAATCATCATAACTGAACAATCTTCTAGTATTACTAATTCAAATGATAAGTTTGTTCTGAAACTACTGAAGAAGATTTATAACTCAGCATAGTCTATTTAATTCAGGATTACATGGTACATAGTTCATCTACATCTGTGATTTCTACTTCTGCTTCTACCTACTTGACTCCCGAGCTTCCGCATGAATGGTAGATGTTATTATAAGACACATATAGGTTTTTAATTAAAAAAGAAAAACAAACATGATAAACGATGGTTTTCTAAGATGGAAAATTTTTTTAATAAACAGATTTTTTATTGGATAAAGTTTTCTAGAAATGTGTTGCTGAAAACTCTAATTAAAATTAATGAATTAATTAAATTTTTGTAACCAAAAATGAAAAGCATACCTAGAATGAAGTATTCGAACCCTTATCTATTAGAGAGATTGACGAAGTGTGTAGTGTGAAAAGCTATAAGGCTTCTAACCATTAATATATGATAAGGAGAGACAAGTATTTTTAGGATTTTTTTAAGCAATCCCAGTAGATTAACGAATATAAACAATTTTCGTTATTTATGTTTATGATGATATTTTAATCTTCTTTTAGAGATCCAAGTGCCCTCTTGCAGCCTTGAAGTATACTTTAAAATAAGTACTCTCTGTGGGGGAAAGGACTCTTTCTTTCTCTAATCACCACTTGCTGTTATTTGATTGAATAACTTTAAATTGTGCATTCTATGTACTTTAAATATATTTAATTTAATCATTTTATCAAAATTATTTTTTATATAAAATTTTGTGATTCTCTAAGTAGACAACAATTCTGTTTAGTGTGTAATTCGCGACCACAGAAAGGATTTGGTGTGGTTTTAAACTATGAATCCTGTTTTGTGTGTTATTAATTATTATTTATTAAAAACGCAATGTACACTCAGTTCAAGCAGACAATTGCAATGTTTCGCTTCAATCAGAAAATAATGAAATAGATTTTAATAAAATCATTCCCTTTGCACTGCCGCAGCAAAACCAAATGCGCCTATCAACCACGCATACAGATTTTTCACGGACCAAAATAATAACCAAAATGCCCAAGGCGTGATTTATATCCAAAAATATTAAAATGCAAAGCTTTTAATTTTAATTATCATTGCATGTTTTTAGGCGAGAATAGTAAAACACATTATGGCATGTAATTATTATTTACATTTGCACATTTTCGAAGACCACAAAAATCGTGCATACTTTTTGGCGTTAAGGTTACAATTCTATTTAAAGCATATTTTTATGAAATAACCACACAATTTTAATAATATATTTTTTCCAGCGTTGTCAATTTAACATTTTAATATTTGAAATATCATTTTTAGTGTTTAAAGCCGATAAATGATGTCAAATAAATGAGATTCTTCTACTTTATAAATGTGAATTCAACAATATTATCGGTTGTGATAATTTTGATATATATTATATATCAAATGATATTATAAGTATATCACTAACACCTATATGATAGCATTTTTAACGATATAAATAAATATGATTTGTATGGAAAAGCATTCTTCAAATAATACTTATCAAAATTGTATGACATTCCGATTATTAACTAAAACTTTGGGGACTGCAGTTTCGTAATTTGTTAAAGAATGAATAAAAAGTTGATAAATATAAAAAAAAATTCTGTTGAAGCTAAACAATAAATTGAAAAGCGTTAAGTAAATTCCGCATCAAGGGAAGCAATTAATAACTGCTTACTAAATATAAACGAGGTCTACCAGCATTGATATATGTTAACTGAAAATCGCCAGTTCTTCCAGAAAATATAAAAATGGGTCACTAAATAGACTTAAAAGAGCGTAAATTAAAGTTGCTTGACAGCTTAAAGACATCAGAAGTAAATATATTCACATTTGTACAAAAATTATTTGGGTATCATATTTTTTTGACAGGGTTTGACGCTAATACATAATAATGCCCAGTATAAAAAGTCCATGAAAATACGAATTAAATTGAATTAATTATGCATTGAAATACTTTTCCACAACACCAGATCTGGTCTCCAATGACTACTGGTTTTTTGTGGACACAAAAAAATAGTTTCAGGGAGAAATTTGAACTCTAATTAAAAACTCATTTCTGAAATTGAAATCTATTTTAAGAGAAAAAAAAACTGATACCAAAAATAGAACGTCGACAAACAAAAAGTAAAAATTAAAAAAAAAAAATTTAACTAAACCGGAGACGAATTGAGTGAACAATGGTGTATTAACTAGAAATGAGATAAACTCCCAATTAACAATATAATCTGCATAATACAGTGCAAACCAGAAATATATATATATATATATATACATATATATATAGTCATGCAAAAGGTTATTATTTTATTTTCGTCCCAAATGTCGACATACTAAACACCTTAATTAGTAAAGTTATATTAAATCCAATAAAATCAATTCTAAATCTATAAAGAATATACTACTATATACAATTGTTGTAATACTTGTACTATAAAATATCACGTGTATATCAATTAGAAGCACTTTTTGTCCATACAAAAATTAAATTAAAATATTCATATATCTTTAATTTTCACTTCTGTCGTTATTCGAAATAAGAAAAAAGAACAATAAATATATTTGACGATTTTTTGAAATAAATAATGCATATTGAATCCATCTTTATTCGCTTAAAATCCATTCCAATCCATTATCCATAATCCGGACAGAAATGTATTCAATTCGATACCCATTGGTGGAAACGAATTACCAAGCATACATATGTTCAGCGAAAGGAAAGAACAGGTTGATAAATGATCTGAAATTGCTTGACACTACCAACAGACGAAAATAGGTCGCATATAATACCAGCTGGCAAAGACTACTTGACTCAGTCAAGAACTAATATATGTCTTTAAATGTTAACTAAGTAAATAAATAAGTATAATCTGAACATTACAGAATCATACCATCAAATCTGTATGCCATCCTTTGATTTTTATCGAGATAAGTTACACAATAAACTTTTTTAGCAGAATAGGCATAGCTTAGCACTAAGTCATTATATTCTCTAGTATCCCATTAGAATTGATACTATCTCACACTTTCAACGTGTTTCTCTTTATTAAATAAATGTTAATTTATTTAATAAAAATACTTCTGACAACAAAAATGTCCCACAAAAATTTCTTTTTTATGCAGAATTTAATGATTAATTCAATTCAGAAATAAAAAGAAAAAATATTTGCATTATTTTTTGTCGAAAATTGATTAAATTTATTGATTATGGGGCGTATGAGTGACGTGTAAGGCACCTGATAAATTGATATTTTTAAATACTTCTAAAAACAATATCAAATTGGTAATATTTTTTTTATATTAATTTTTGATTGGTTCGAAATCCTTTTGGGTACAAGTCTCCAAATCCCTATCTCCTAGGATAGGGTTTGTAAACTTATAGGTTAACGCAGTAAATATCGGCTTTAGTACTTCTGCTTCAATCCATTCTCTCAGTGTATATCATTACTATTTCTTGTATTCTAATCAATTCTGTTCTCAAATCTCTGATTGCGGGTATTCTGGTGGTGAAGTTAGTATCAGCGTATAGATGACGATATAAGTAACATTTTCCTCACAACTGATACTCGGATAAGATAATGGAGTTTCACAATATTCTATCATCTTCAAGTGCGAAATAGAATAAATAAAAAGGATTTTCGTTTGGTAGTGTTAAAATCAATAAAATGTAACCCATAACTTTGATAATTAATTCAAACACTTATGGACATGACGGTTGTCACATGATATATTGCACAATCTACGGAATTTGAATTTGCTATGGATACTCAACTTATACTTATACTATAGAGTTGCTATTGCCACGACGTCAGTAACGGACCGGTATGCATCCGGTCAGCTATATAGCTATATGACAGCTATATCATACTCC